TTCATTGAGTTGGCACGGGGCGGACAGATACAGCTGTGTATCGTCCGCGTATTGGTGGTATTTTATCCCGTGCCTCCGAATATAGCATATAATATATACACTGGAACAAAAACATCAAATAAATGCATGACATAATTGGGGTCCATTGGCATTAGGCCCAAATGGAGACACTTTAGGCTGGAAGTGGTTGGATAGTGATAAAAGTGGCTTATAAATTTAATAAATAGAAATAATATAAAGGATACATGTGCACACATAGGGCTTTGATGCATGTGATAATAAAATGAATAGTGACATTACAGTATTTTATTGTTTTAAAGATTATTCAGGAGAAAGTGTGTATGTTAAACCTAAAAGTTTCTTTTACATGAATTTGCCTTATTTGCATCCAATCAATTTGGATTTAGCACTAATTTAAATTATGCAAATCACAACTATTTTGGATGAAATGGGAATTTTGTCCCTTTTTGGGGAATGATGCTCAGATGAAAATTTGCATTGCACTCTTAGTTCGCTAAGCTGAGGTTCATTAAATCTATCTTGGTAATATCACATGCATGGCAGTCTTGTGATTTGATGAATATCTTCAGAGGCAATGTTTGTCATTTTACGATGATGATGATAACACATTATTAATTTTAATATAAACAAGCAAGGAAACCAAACTGATTATAAGGTAAGCTAGCCACACACAAAGCTAACTCATCCCCAAAAGCAAAACATATATGTAGGGGGTAAACTTCTCCTCTAATGTGGTAATGTTCACTTTATATATCATTACTATTCTTTCTCTCAAATAGGAAACAAGCCTAAAATTGACAGTACTGATACCTCTAAAGCTGACTTGATTGGCACCTGTAACTTCTGTCTCTGAGAAGAATTAGTGCTATGTGTGAGATTTTTTTTAAAAAAAGAAGACATTTATTCTGAATAAGGATAACTTAGCATCCCTGCTGAGATACAGTTCAAGGCTTATTTCAATTTGCCCCAGGAACTCTGCAAATCTATCATTCAAAACCCAATGGCAATGAAAACAGAATTTTATATCCATCACTGAGATAGTGTCAAGGTATGATACATTATTGATTGAAGGGACATTTCAATAAGAGAGTATGGGAAAAGAATGGAATATAATGAATAGGGAACTCTCATACACAAACAAGGGTATATTGTATGAATTCCAATCTGAGAGCAAACTATCTTTGCATTCATTCTGTATCAATATAACTACATAGCAGCGGAAAATACATTTGCGTCTCAAATACTAGGTTCCCTAGGAAACAAAATGATTTCATCATGCGGAATAGAGGGCGGGAACCCTAAGTAATAAATTAATGTATTAAAATAAATGGAGAATTTCTCCATCAACACACATCAGCAACTCCCTCTTTTTCTGTCATAGCTGCATCTCATCTGTACATGACTAGGTTTATTTTTTAGTGACAGTAACAAAGAAGAGAATAAATTGACTGAAGAATTTATAGCAGGTTATAGATCTCAGTGGTAACAACTATATAACAACAGAGGTCTTCAAGCTGCATGTGGCAATGTCAAAGATCTCAGCAGTTGTATTCTTTTTTAAATAATAAC